TTTAACTATTAGACTGATCTCTCTAGTTTTAAATTTTTAAAAAAGCTACATCAAGGAAATGATTTTAATTTCCTTAACTACTTGCATAGTGTGTGTGTGTGTGTGTGTGTGTGTGTGATTTAGTAGATGACGGTAGTATTGAAAGAGGCTTATATAGAAAATCAGGAGACCAGTCCTGTCCTGATCTGCCCTGATTTGCTTATGACCTTGAACCAGGAATTTACCTTCTTGGCAATCTCATTATCTTGTTTGCAAGGTAAGAGATTTATCTAGATCACCTCTAAGGTCTCTTTTGGTTAAACTATTCAATATGTCACACTAAAGTTTAAAAACTGAGTACTTGTCATTGATAAGGTATTTCACTTGCTTGATATGGGTTCATTGTTGCTATTTTGAGTTGCTTGTTTATCTTTAGGAGCTCTGGTAGCATAGTGCCTAAGGCATTTGACTGCTAACTAGAAGGCTGGTGGTTCAAACCCACCAGCCACTCCACAGAAGGAAGTTTGAGCAATCTACTTCTGTAGTGATGCCACCTCAGAAACCTAAGGAGGGGTCACTATGAGTTGAATCAACTCGACAGCAATGAGTTCTGTGGTTTTTGTTTGTTTGTTTGTTTATCCTTGGCAAATTTAAAACACTCTTGTCCTTGAAATTATACATTTTTATCTTAATGTAATGGACTCTTGTTGTTATTCTTCTAGAAGATGAGAGAGCCCATCAGGTATAAATGAAGTCTGGCAAACTCTGAGCATAATGATTTTTATGATACTTTTCATAAATCTGTCTGCTGTGCCAGATAGAAATCTATCTATACTGTGTCATCTTTGAAAACAGCATTCTTTGTTTATGTTTGTGAGCAGCCATCTCGTGCTCACTGATTGCGTTGAGTCCATCGCAGAAGAGCTGTCACAATGGGCTGGAAATCTGATAGGTGCAGGATTCACAGCCTTCTGAAACCATTCTTCACTATTTGTTCTGGCTACCTAGTGCCACTCTGACAAGAAATATATACCACAAATGGGATGGCCTTAACAAACAGGAGTTTATTCTTATAATTTGGAGGCTTTAAGTCCAAGTTCAAAGTGCCAGGCTCTAGGAGCTGGGTGAAAGCCCCTCAACCTTGAGGTCCAGCTCTGCCTTCTGCTCTTGGCCCACTGGAGCTAGAGGCATTTCTTCACTCAGATAGCTGCTGGCT